ATTCAGTGTATATTGCGTACTGCCAATAGATTCAATTCTAGAAATGTCCTTGTGAAGTAAATAATCAAATTTTCGAGTTTGTATTGAAGAAAAAAACGAACAAAATTACGACTGCTGTACTAAAATTGAAGGATATTATGCTGAGCTTATATTGAGGCCTGTTGAATTTGCAGTTAATAAAGTTATGTAATACAAAGAGTTAATCGTTCTCTTATGTATAAAGTAAAGTAATTTAAGATTATGTATTCAGAAATCGTGAGATGCGGTCTGGTGTAATGTAGGTTTCAGAAAAACATTTTCTTTATCGTGCCAACGTTTCGATCTTTATTGAGATCATCTTCAGGGCTCAAAGTGTTTGTCTTCCGTGTAATTGTGCCATTCTTGCGTGTCGTGTTGAGATGACACTAATCACCACACATTGTGAATACATGCATGATCATATCTATTTTTTAACGAGGGTATTTCAACTACGTGGTTAAAAGACCTCTCTGAGTGCAAGCGTTTTTATGGCCGCTGGATTTGAACCCGGGACCTTTTCTTACAATGACGAGTCACCATATCAACGCCTCGCGAACATTTTTCAGCAAAGTTTTCTTTATTTATTGCATATATTGGAATGTTGTAGCATATAATTATTAGCTTATTACACTTCAAAAAATTAATTTACAAAAAATCGAAAGCTATTTGATATTGTAGTTAGATAGATGTAAAAGAAATAAATCAAATTCATTATTTACAGATGAGCTGGCAAGATAAAAAATTTGTTTTAATATATTTATGTATATGTTTAAGCGAATAAAATACTTGTTTATAAATACTTTTAATTAGTTTAATTTAATTAATTGATTAATGTACTTGGACTTAAACTTCCGTAATATACATATTAACCTATTTTTATATTTTTCAGGTGAGTACTCCATATATTTTCACGTAGAAGACAAGCATTTTCATCTAAAACCAGGTAGGAACGATCCCCTTACAATTCAATACAAATTCGTGCAATTCAGCATGCGGAATCACGAGATTCAACGTGATCAGAAAAACAATCGGCCGAGTGGTATTCTCGTGTAAACTTATTGGTCAAACAGATTTCGTCATGGCTAAAATCATCCAATTTACAAATCCCTTTTCCTCCAATACGAAATGCTTTCGCGCTTGCCCATTTCCTGCGCAACGTCCTTTTACATGCACTTCGTATATGTTAAGTAACAAAGGAAATCGATGATGTTAAAAGAGCTTTTTATCTAAACTTAAGTCCACTTTTTTCGTTCATCTATTAGATCAATATTAACCAGCTGGCGATGACTGTATTACATATTATTTCCTTGATATTGTACTATTGGCAATTTAGGATCTGGCATTCTATTTATTCCATACAAATATCAATTTTTTTTTTAAAGCTAGGGTGATAAGTAAGAACAAAGGGTTATGCGGTAGATAATACTTGGATTTATTTTGTATTACGTTGGGACCTAGTTTTGATATGACTATCCACTTTCGAAAATTTACAATTTCTTTAAGTTTTAAGAGTTAAAGACACATATACAAATATTTAACCGTATATTTTTAACCAAAAATTCCGAATAAACCTGGGTACCAAATAAGAATAGGACAGAGAGGGAAAGAACTCCTTTAAAAATGGCACCATCCTCTGGTACACAGATGGATCTCGAACACAAGAAGGTACAGGGGCAGGAGTATTTGAACCTGGAAGCAAATACTCAGAACCCATGGGAAAACACACCAGTATCTTCCAAGTTGAGATTCATGCAATTGAAAGATGTACCCAATTCAATCTAAGTAAAGGGTACAAAAACATGAATGTAGCTATCATGTCAGATAGCCAAGCAGCCATCAAAGCACTAAGCTCAAATACCATTAGTTCAAGGATGGTGCTGAACTGCAAAACCAAACTAAACATATTAGGTATGCAGAATAAAGTCAGTCTCTGCTGGGTCCTAGGACACATGGGAATAGAAGGCAACGAGAAAGCAGACACCCTTGCAAGGAAAGGGGTTGCCACACCGCTGATAGGACCTGAACCCTTCTGTGGCATAGGAATCCACACTGTTAACGAATATCTCAGACAGAAGGAGAAAAAGAAAATGAAGGAACAATGGAATTCACTCATTGGACATAGATAATCCAAGAATTTTTAACCAATTTGTGAAATTAGAGAATGTGTTAAAGGAAGCAGGAATAGACTGCGAATCCTAACAGGATTCCCAACAGGACACTGCAGATTAAATGGAGACTTAAAGAAAATTGGAACCTGGTACATGGTACATGCAGATTCTACAAGGAGGCAGAAGAGACACCAACACATTTACTAACAAACTGCGGAGCTACATTAGCCCGCAGGAGGAAATGTTTTGGGTTGTATAATGTGACTATAGAAGAGCTTCAACTACTGAAACCGGGCCTATTAATCAAGTTTCTTGATGAAATAGGACTCGCCGATGTGCTTTAGGCAGAGAACGGGGGCTACAATAGCTCTTAAAGGGCGCAGTATATTACACCCCGAATATTACATCTACATGTACATCTAACCGTATATTTTATAGTGTACAAATCTGTATAAGCGAAATGATTTAATAAATCCTTACATTTTGCAAATATCTGTTAGCGCTCTCTTTATGTGGCAGGAAAGGGTGGTAGAAGTCGCTTTGTTCCTCTACAAAAGTTTTAATTAGTTTATGTTCCGTGCAATTACGGTATTTAAAATCGAGTGGTGCTTCGGTGGTCTCGATAGGAAAAAAGGGTCATATTCCTGTTTCCACGAAAGCTCTTTGCACCAGAGATCATTTTGGACGAGGAGGCGAAGGGATGATGGCGTGACTGCAATGTCCCGGGCTTTAATTGGCGTCATTATCCTCCTCGATTCGCCAATTGTCCGATTTCATCCTTTAACCTCTCAGGGCCTCATCCTTCGTTTAACGTCCAATTTGGACCAAATGGCCTCTCCCTCTTAACCGGGGACAATTAAAGGAAAAAGTGCACGTGACTAGATTCAGTCTTAAAGGTCCGAATGTCTCTTGTGTCTCTCTAAGAAACAACACTCGACGCAATTGGACAAATAATTTCACAAATATCCAACATAATAGCAAGATTAATAATAAGATAAACTTATAGAAATTCCTTATTTCATAGGGGATTTGCTTGTATTTTAAGCAGCAATGAGAAGTTTATACATTCTCAGTAAATCATTGTTGAAAAAAAATCCTTCTTCTTAATAATGAACTGAATGAACTATTTTCAGAAATATCAAAATAATAGCTAGCTTAATGAAATTAATATTTCCAGAATTTCTAAGTCTTGAAAAAGAAGCCATGCAAAAATGTAGTGGCGAAACTGAAAAAAATATCCTTATTTCAACATCAGTTTAATACAGTAACTGTGCTAATGATGTCGTGTGCGTCGAAGTCGAATAATTTTTAACTTCATTTTGCTATTGCGAAACTAACATTGTCTGGTGCTGCTAACGGTGTGCTTGCCACGTGGAATTTGCTCTTGTAAAGAAAGTGTCCACAAAGTAATCAGAAAGGAAAACTCGAAAAGTGGGTTAGGAAATGATGTATCAACAATGGGGATAAAAATCGATTCCAGGTAATATAGCAACTTTGTTGTCAATTTAACATGAAAGTAGACAGTATTGCACCAACTAACATTTATATAACAATTTAAATAATTCGAATAATTTCGAATCCCGCTCGTGACACTGGCTTTTTTATTTCACGCAATACCTTACATAAAGATTAATTAATTGAAAAAAATTATTTGGTCAATCGGACCACGAAATATAATCAATTTAAATAATGTCGTTGTGGTTTACAATTTTTGCACGTGCTAAGACCAAGGTGAAAAAGGGGTTTTAAGAAGGTACTGATTGCTGCAGGTAGTTGAAACGCTCCCTTTTTTAAATGAATGCAACATTTTACTTACATTTAAATATTATGTTTATCTAAGGCCTTGGTTGAGATGAACAGGTTAGTGTCACCTGACGACACGCCGAAGGTCGTGGGTTCGAATCCCGTTCGTGACACTAACTTTTTCTTCTCAGCCAAGACCTTACATAAATAGATTAATTAATTGAAAGAAGTAATTTGGTCAATTAGGCCACTAAACATAAATGGATTAATATTTTACTTACAGTGCAAACAGCAACCCTATGAAAATTTACACGAACATTTAGCACATTTAATATTTGAGGGCTCAAAAGGTCATAAGTTTCGGACCATCCTTACATCATAGTAGCACAACGGTTGCGTGAATGCCCTAAATATAATTTTTTATAAAACTTTTTTTTACGAGGGTTCGCAACAGCGGAGATCATATCAACCCTCAGGGTGCCGGTGGTTTTGAAAAAAAGCCCGTTTGTAAGTATGTCGGGTTCGAATGCAGGCCCGCTGGAATCGAACCCAGGACCTTCTGTTATTATGTACTTTTTAAAATGTGCATATTTTCTACAAATAATTATTGACGAAATCGGCCTTAGGGATTATCAAATTACTCATTTTATTTGTGTAGCTAACTATTAAAGTTTATTATTGACGAACAGTAGTGACGATACTTCATTGTAGAAAAAAAAGAAGCTTTTAATGGATTGGAATGCACTAAATTGCGAAAATTAATCGAATATATTGAGTTTAAAAAGCGGAAAAAGCATGATAAAATCAATTAATCGTTAATTATCTCGAACGATAAATCGGAAAACATTTTTGAAAATTACATGACCCATTTTGCATATACGAATACGTTCATAGAAACATATTCCGCGTTCAAGCTGTATTACATCACCCCGGCCTGGGCAGACAAAAGTATAAAGGGCGTTTTTTTGCAAACGGAAAATAAATAAAAACAAACACATAAAAACCGCAGTCACGTGTAATTAATGGTGGGATATGTATAATTGATAACTAAGTTGGGTTGGATAAGCGGCAGCCAGTCTGCTATGACCGCCTAAGGGAGCGTGAAGGCTACTTGGTAATAATTAGACTTACAAGTGAGTTGTCTCTAGTTTCTTGTTCATGGAGCAAGAAAATTGGACGGTTCTACCGGTGGGCTATGGGCTATGGAAGACTTCAAGGCCCCGGGACAACAATGCCCCGACCGGCTCAGCGCCCCTCTCAAGGACCTGGAAATCAACATATTTTTTTACAAAAACACATCAGTTCCACTACACGTGCATATCTTAACATAAAAGTAAAAGGGGAAAAGATGAAAACCCTTATCTATTTTATTCGGTTGGAAATTTATTAGTTTACTGTCAAAAGATCAAAATGGGAGACTTCGAATCCAGAACTTTCTTTCAAATATTTGAAATGATGAAAATCTTTTCGTGAAACGAAAGAATGATAGATGAATGATTGATCTATTCGTGGCACATATCAAAAGGGTTATCTTGAAAAGAAATCACACCTATCTGGCTCAACATCGAAGTGTGTTTACGTCAATACCTAATACAGAAATTATATAATTATAAAAAAATGGGATATAATAAAAGAAAACACTACCATAAATAAAGAAAAATTTCTAGAAATCTTAAAGTTGTGTGCAGAAAATCCATATTTTGTATTTGGTATTAATATATATTAAGAAATAGTAGGACTTCCAATGGGTGCAAGTTTACCACGAACATTACTTTCGACTTTTATTAATTAATTAAATAACAATATTTTAAGGAACACAAATCTAAGAATAGAAAGTTTTTTAAGAAATTTGTTGACGATGCAATAATTTACGTACATAAGAACTATACAGGAAAAGTTTTACAAGAATTTAACGAAGCACATCGTTTAATAAAGTTTACAATAGAAAAAGGAAAAGAAAATTATATCCCATTTCTAAATAAAAAATTATAAGAAATAACAAACAGCTCATATTACACTAATATAAAAAACCAAATTTTTATCATCACATCCAATAAAACGAAAAATTAATGTAGTAAATAATTTCGTAAATAAAATTTTCGTAAATTAATATTACCTTTCGTAACGATAATATAAACAATTTAATAGAAACTTCTACAGCAAATAATTACCCCCACAAAAACTACTAGAAAAAATAATGGCAAAACAAAAATTAAATTGTTATAATAACTTTAAAAAACAAAAATAATAAAAATATTATGTACAAATAATTCATGCTGCTATGATTTATTTACACGGTATATACAAAAAATATTAAGAATCCGTAAAAAGAAAAAGCAATATATAATAATTTAATCATATACCAGTACATAAAAACTAAAAATTGCCTTGCCACTTTTTATATAAAATTAAAGAAAAAATGTTTAATTCTAATGTATATTTGCTCACAAGTAACTGTAAAAAGACATATGTATAGGAAAAATATTAATAACAAAGATTTTTCACCACACATAAATAGCAACAAATCTAATATAACGTTTAAAAATGTAAAATGTATTTTAAAAGAAAAAATGAGACCAGATTAAATTGGTTAGAAAAAGTATATGTAAATATTTAGAATAATAACGTAAATTTGCAAAAGGAAAGGAAAAAAATTGCGAACGATATAGTTATATTATAGTCATATATAAAAAAAGAAAATATAAAGAAATAATCGAACAGTAATGAGGTCATAATTGATAAAATTGATACCTTGAGAGATAAATGAATAAATGGTTACACATTGTTGGGCCGTTCATTGGTATATACTGTAATTTTATTAGGTCTATATATTTTAAGATTAAAAGCCAATATAAACAAGAATGATTTTTCATAGGATAGACAATTATATTAAATGAACACTGAGAGGACTTGAGGTCGAAAACGTTTTGGTAAAAAATAAAATTCAATGCTGCTGTATATGTTCAGTAACCTACAGTACAATTACTAAATGTTAAAAAATAAAGAACAAAAAATTAATTACTACTTTTTTAAATTACAATCTTTAATTATTATTTACAATGTGTAATTTGCGGATACATGAACTTATGTACAACTATTTACATTGAGGGGAGCAAATAAACAATGTTTTCCTCCCTCTTCACTTTGTTTACTTTGTTTTACTGTTTACTCAGAAAGGAGGTCGCGGGGCCATTTCCTCTTGAGACGCCTTATGGGGTAGTAGGGATGGGTTCTATTGGACAGGGCTTGGGCAAGACTATTTTGATGGTGGGAGAGTTTTTTGTGGAACTTGGTAAATTTTTGGGGAATAAATTTTTGGATGTAAGTAATTTGAAGGTCGTTGTGGAGTGTAGCATTTGAGACATAGTAAGGAGCATTTACAATGGATTTGATGACTTTAGATTGAGAGGATTGGAGACGTTGGATATTGGAAGGTTTAGCGGTTCCCCACAGTTCTATTCCGTATGTCCAAATCGGTTGTAGTAGTGTTTTGTAAATTGTAAGTTTGTTTTTTGTCGATAGTTTAGACTGTCGTCCTATATGTCTGTGCAGTAGACCATATCTGTCTAGGTTTTGTCGTGTATGTTGATTCCACGTTAGTCGTGATTCTAGGTGGACCCAATTAATACTAAAAAGAAAATTTGTTTGACAGAAAAGATGGTGAGTATGTTGTTCAATCTTTACAAATGATAGTTGCTACTCACAGTTGTTGTTTTCAATGATCCGGATTTCAAACTTACAGCTCATCATCAGGTTGAAGGCCACGTCTCTCGACATGAATTGTAAAAGTACTTAGCTTTCATTCATTTCTTTCAATCTGACGATGAGCTATAAGTTTGAAATTCGGATGGTTGATAACAAGATTGTTAGAGTTGTTGAATACCATTGTGCAGAACATAACGTGTCCACTGGCATCCGATTGTTGCAAAGTTGTTTCTTGAACAATTCGCATTCCTGTTTAATTACTTAATGTTGGCAGATTTGTTAATTGCTCGGAAAGTTCTCAGTCCGTGAAGTATTTCATCGGCAAGAAACTATGGTTCCGAACTTCGTTCCGCATGCTTTCGCTTCTTATTTAAGGCTATTCCTGCCAATGTTTGATAAATGGTCGAAGTTTGAATCATGAAAACTCATTTAAGAATTGGGATAAGCTAATAAAAACATAAACATTTGTTATACGTATAATTGTTACAATAGAAGTACATAAAACAACAACATTTGTTAAATTTTGATATTTGACTTTTGAAGTTGACTGATGTGACATTATTATTAACTTGGACACTCCATTTGGCTCTCACACTCTTACAACACACTCACGCAGTCTTAACTACATACATATATCAAATTAAATTTTATAATACCCCGCAATAATATAAATATCGATTTTATCACGATTTTTATTAATCTGTTTATTATACTAAATGGAAGATTCCAGCTAAATTACGTTATAATACAAGAAATCATGACAATCTCCGTGACAGTTAATCTGCCTAATGGTGTTATAATATAGCCTGTTGCGTAATAAAAGTGAAGACAATATCCTTACAAAACAAAACTGTTAACTCAGCTTAATAGTAAGATGATAACAAGTAATTGAAGACACATGGTTAGATAATGTAATCAAAATAATCATAATCATAAAGTTATTAATAACCAACAATTGTGATATTTCTCCATATGCTCTGCGAGGTAATGAACCAGCAATTTGGTCAATTTCGTCTACCTATCCTCTGTGGTTTATTTAAAGATTTCCTTTTTGGTTCTTAGGAGTGATGAACTTGTAGCTTGTTCGTTTCCGATATTTTTGGTATGCGCATCCTCGCTGTTTTAGTCTGCCAGGCGTGATTTGGTGAAACAAAATGACACAGACTATTCAATTAAAATGGTGAACCGCGAAAATAGGTAGAGTGGGATTTTCCGGGACGATCAGACTGCAAATTATAAATTCAGAGTAATGAACCTATAATTTGCTGGTCGTTTCCCGCAAATATGTATTTTAAACAAAAGACAAAAAAAAGTATTTATTTGCTGATATTAAAGCAATTAAGTGATAAAGTAGAATAATATAATGTAAAATGAACAATATAACACAAGCAATTAAGGTTTTTAGTTGAGATGAAAAAAGTTAATGGCACGAGAGGGATTCGAACCCACGACCTTCGGCCTGATACGCCGCTGCTCTACCACCTGAGCTATCGTGACCTCGATCCACTCGGACATCAACTCCCCATCTCAACCCCACCTTATGAGTTTTTTTGTTGAGATGGGGAGTTGATGTCCGAGTGGATCGAGGTCACGATAGCTCAGGTGGTAGAGCAGCGTCGTATCAAGCCGAAGGTCGTGGGTTCGAATCCCTCTCGTGCCATTAACGTTTTTCATCTCAACTAAAAACCTTAATTAATTGTAAAGTATTAATTGGTCAAGCGGACCACGAAAATAGTGAATTGAATATAACACAAGTTTAACTTGTGCTTGCGAAAAAGAAACAAGTATTTATTAACAATTTTAACAAAAGAATCTGACACTTGCTTTTTGATAAACCTTTTTAAAACTGCCTTCTCACCACTTAATTTAACGTTAAAAGAAAGAAAGGTTGTAACATTTATCTTCAAATAATTGTATTGGCACATTGTATGTACAAAGTAATTAAGTGTTTAACGTCCAATTTACCTTTTCGATGTGGAAGATGGGTCAAACCACTTGAAAATAACTTTTACATATTATTTCCAATAAAAATTTCATGGGATTTACCTTGGATTCGAACCAGAACCGCTAGCGTGGCAAAGACGAGTCGTACCCAACTACTCCTGGTAGAATAATACTGTGAGTGTTTATTTCCGTTTGTAGTATATCAATAAAACATAAGTTCTAAAGTTTAGTTGCAGTATTACATCGTATGGTTGTTATCTTAAAGTAAGTTAAGTGTGCAAATATACAACTAAAGCGTACTAAGCGGGACACTTAAGTCATATTAATTCCTCGAAAACAGTTTTAATTTAATGGCCAACGTTCGAAGTGGTCCTGTAATGTGCTCAGGGATAGTACAAGAGGGTATTGCCAAGTAGAAGCCATTTCCTAGAATTTAAACAGCGGTTGCAGGGTTAGGGTGGTCTCCTATTATTCCCTAAGGAGCGGACATTAAACTGGCGCGCCCCGTTTCTAAATTACTGTGATCCTCAAGGGATTCCACCGTTGGCGGTGTAAGCCTTTTCTAGTTTGACACCCCCCTTGTATTTGAATCGAATGTTTGAAAGGAAATAATGGC